CTTCAAACTTTATTTTTAGCACTCAAATGTAAACAAACGGCGACGCCATTTTGGATTGGGCATGTGGCACAGTGTGCACACACATCGTGTACACACTCATTTATTTTGAGCCATTTTCATATGTACACACTAACACACGCACACACACTCACATGGACACACGTGCGCACACACAACGCCAAAGTCTTTACCGGCTTCGGTAGCTGCTTTATGGCAAAATTGACCTTAGCTCGGTGATTAAGATGCAAAAAAACAACATCCGAAAGATATGTGCAATGCTAATGAGCGTTAATAAGATACACGCACACAAACACACACACACGCGCACGCCAGAGGCTGTATCGGTTCACTTAGTGAAACGAAACTCGAGTATATCGAACATAACTTTAAATATTGATAAGTTTACTTTGATTTCTATTACGCAAAAGCTGGCAACTGCGCCTGTATACAATACATATATTTCAACCTAAATAGCTGAAGTCACCAAAAATTGTTTATTCAAAATAAAAAATGGTTTATTTACCAAGTTTCTATCCTCGAAACAGAAGTACCGTCGAAAAGTATTGGTCAATAGTTTATTTAAAATGAGAAAAGGTAAAATAACTGATAAGCAGGAATACAAGAAATGCAATATCTAAAAAAAAAAATAGAAAATAAATCTATTTCCACTGGCTTTATTCAAACTAAAAAAAAAGAAGTCGCCAACATTTACGTACTTAAGATAACAGATTGTTTATTTTCTAAATGCGAATCGAGAAATGGCGGTTAATATTTTATCAAATGCGAGAAAAGGTAAAATAACCAACATTTATCAGGAATTATTATCATCATCATCATCGTTCTCGGTACATAAAACAGATATGGGATAAATTAAACGGCAATTCAATTGTTAAAACATGGAAAAGAACAAATTTAACAGCGGTAACTGGATTATTTTAAACTAAATGATCACAACAAGTTCTGTATTCAAATTAAAAAAATGTTTGTTTCCTAACTACGAATCCTGGAAACGGAAGTTGCATCGAGAAATATGGGTCAATAGTTAATTTAAAACAAAATAATGTCAAAAAATAGGGAAACTCATAAACATAATCAGGGAAAAATTAACGACTATTCAGTTGTTAAAACATATAAGAAAAATAATTAACAGCGTTTGATGCAATATTTCAAACTAAATACAAAAAACACAACAAATTATTTATTTAATATGAAACCTGTTTTCTAAATACAACCACAGCTCACCGAAACATCGAGAAAGAGTGGTCAGTAGTTAACTAAAAACGAGCAAAAGAAAAATAACCGGCAATAGCTAAATTTATTCAAAAATAAATAATAATTATCAAAAGTAGCAAAGTCCAAAAAAAAAAAAAAAAAAATACATTATACTCTTTGGGTGATGGGTAACCATTTTCCTTTTATTTCACAAAGATTAAATTTAAATAATCTAAGAATATATCATGAAATGAAAGAAAGACCCATATATCAAAGAATTTATCATATATGAAAGGATTCATCATATATGAAAGAATATATATATCATTATCGTCCCATAGAGCCAGTCAATTCCTGCGACCTTATCGATGTTTTACGTCACATTTTCAAAGGTTTTTTTTTTACAAGAAAAAACTATTTCGCTCACAAAAAATTATACGTAAATCATGAAAAGTAAATAAGTACAAATATAATTTTTTTATGGTACAAATATTAAATTTAAATACTCTAAAAATACGTTATCTATAAAAAATATCATACAAGTAAGAACATTTCGAAGAATATATCGTATATGAAAGAATATATCAAAAAAGAATTATCATATCAAAGAATATATCACATAACATCCCATAGAACCTGTCTATTTCCGCGACCTTATCAATGTCCAAAGTATATCCAATTTCTACCGTAAATGAACAGAATAAAAAGCAACTTGTTATTGTTCATATTATATGTAGTCGCATTCGTATTATGGCAGGTCGTGTCGGTGCTGATTTTCATTTGTTTATTTACTTTTACAGCTGCTTTGCAATTACGACAAGCGCAATTTGCGAGCTGCTTTTCTGGTTATTTCTAACTAGAATTGAAGGGCTTTTTTTTTCAGCTGATCAAGCATATGACACATCCCATTGACCCTATGTAGAGCTTAGGGGTGCGGCCAGATAAGATAGGCAAAACTAATTGAATTTGCCCGTAGTATGGATTTCTAATTGCCAATGTGACTATAATTATCAATTATAGACGGGGGCAATCAATCAAGAAATTAAAACTTCTAGATATGGTGCTACGCCAGGCAAAAAGAAAAACAAAAGAGGTTAAAAAAACGAACAAGAAACGAAATATAAATAAAAAGAGAACAAATTATGAACATAAAAGAACGAAATAAAAATTCTGAAGAATTTAAGAATTGACACAAAAAGTTGAGTTATATTCCAAACGAGCGCTGGCCACAAACTGAAATTATTTTAGGAAGGCCAAAGTAGGCAAATTTCAATTGCAAGGCCTACTTTTTATAAGAAAACAAAATGTCTCCAGTGTGCACACACTTAACAGGCAAAAAATACTGTGCACAGTGTGTACCCAATACTTATAACAAGGCCTGCTTAGTTCTGTTTGATTTATTAGGCTCATCTCTAATGAGAGTTTAATCGATAGGAAGAACGCGAACAGTTGATTGGCGTTTCCTTAAATTTAGACAGCTGCCTATTTGGTGTTAAGTAGAGCTTTAAAAGTTCTAAAATTTATGATATTGAATAATACAATTTGAAGTTATCCTTGAGTGGGTCCAAAAATATATGGGCCTCAGTCACAGAGGGGTTTAGCTCTAAATACTAACATACCTCGTTAGTCTCATACTTTTTAAAATTAGGCAACATTGTTTTCCAGACAACGCGGTGCTGATGATACTCTAAAGTATTTGGAATATTTTAATGAATAACGAAAATTTTCGGCGTGAATCATCATGTGAAACAGCTCGACCCACACACTCTGCCAAATGGGGGGTTTTTTCAGCCAATGCCAAAAAACACTTGGGAATATTCTCACAATTGTTGCGTTCTTAATTGATTTTCTATATTTTAAGAAGTGTAACCACACGTTCAATTAGAACAAATTCATAGAAATGCCTTGAGAGGGTAATTTTAGGTGCGCGTTCAGCTGTCGTGATGAAGATTCCGACGCAAACAAAATACGGAATAAGGAAATATAAAAATTGATGTGTGTACATAAATATATGCATGTAGTATAAACGAAACGAAAATAAAATTGAATAGCAAACGTACAAAATGCACAGCATTTAATCCGTAAACAAAATAGTAATAACTGATAAAAATTAACAATTACAAATTATAAATAAATAGAGCAACCGCTGCAGCTGGCGCCAATCTGGGTGACAGCGTGTGTGAGAGGGAAATTTTCAACTGGTCGCGGGTTCATGTGCAATTATTGCACTTTGAGTGACTTATAAAAACATCAAGAGCATTAAATTTGTAATTAAAAAGGCAGCTGTATATATAAATATAGAGTATGCAGCGTGTACACATTAGAGATGGACACGTGTTGTTTTCAAACCAAAACATATTTTGGATATAATCAATGTTAAAAAAGTTGTTTATCGTTATCGTTTAATTAACTTTTTAACTTAACAACCTCGACACAAACAGGCACCAAATGTGATTGGCTTACACGAACACGTCGTGTCGCTGAAGAAAACACGACTCGCGGCCAGCTCTAGTACACAGACTAACACACACATACTTACATGCAATGTGTAAGCGCACACACAAACACACAGCTGAAGCAATTCAAATTCAATGTCAACAACTGAACGCTGGACTCCAAGCACTGCACCAAATTTGAAGCTATTAATATATGTATGTGTGTTTATGTGTATCCAAAATCAAAATGCGCAATTTATGCAGCTGATTCAGCAGTTTTAAGTTTCCTTGATTAATGCACAAATATAATTATTATGATTTTTCAAAGCGAAATTCGCTTTAGTTAAGGCGGCGCGCGGTTATATTGCCATCTGGCAACGCTGCAAAGAGCGCAAGAGAGTTGAACTGCGGCAAGGTAAGCTGTTGTTGTTTTTGTTGTTGTTCTTGTCATTTTTGTTGTGTTTGGTTTGGTTGTTTTTTTGCTACTTTAACCATAATGAAAACTTATTATTGTTTAAAACTTGTACTTCGTTTTGTTGACTAGTTGTCGTTTTAGCTGTTGTTGTTGTGCACTTTAGTTTACACTTGAGCTGTTTTTGTTTGCGCACATTCTTGAAACTGAAATTGTATAATTTTTTTCAATCTGTTTATTTGGCGCGCTGCTGTTAAAATTTTTACGGATACAAATGCAAAGTCAATTAACAGACTTTATTTAAACGCCATGACGACAGTCGCACTTGCATACACATTCGCACTTTGCTTATTATTTATTTGTATTTAGACCAAAAACAAGAAAACAAAAACGTGCTAAATAACCGCGCAACAACACAACACGAAAAAAGGCACAGCTGACGCCTGTTTATGAGAGCGAACCAGAGCCGCTCTCCCAGTCACGCTCCATAGAGATGGGCGAGCTGGTAAAGTGACTGCGCAGTGACTCAAAATGTGAGCGAACAAAAACAGTCATTGTTTTGTAAACAAACGTATTAATGTATTTATTATTTATTGAATAATTAGCTGTCTTTAAAGTTGCCACCTGTTCAACTACTTTAAAAAATATTTAATTTTATATACAGTTCAGATACTGTATAAGCCACGATAAGCTGCAACATCGCTCATCTCTAGTTGGCTCTCTCGCGCTCAGCAAGTGGCACCAGCTGAGACAGCGTTTGTCTTCGTCGGCCATTGAGACAAAATGAAACACAACAAATAAAAAAATACAAAATCAAACAAGAGTTTTGCAAGCGCAACGACTGTAAAAAAAACTGGCAACGTTTCGTTGATGACGACATTTACCTATATTTTTGATTTTAAGCAGGCTTTTATTCAAAATGAGAAAATTGATTAACTTACATTTCTCCTTGTCGTTGCTGCAGCTGCTGCTGCTCCACTTAGCACTTCACGTTGGCGTTGAAATGAAACCAAAAAAACATAACACAAACACAACGTAAACGAAGAGAAAGAGAAGAGGCGACGCAGGCAAAATTTACTTTTCACTCTTTCTCTTTTTTTGCTACATATGTATGTATTTTCTTGCTCACTGTTGGCTGTTGGGCTGTTGGCTGTTGTTGCACTTTCACCACAACGGGCTGAGATTTTCACAATTTTCACGTGTTTTCTCTACTTGAAATTTGTGTGAACTTTTTATAAAAATTTTACATGATTATTTGCTGGGTTAAGCAATATTTTTAAGCACACACACACACACACGGTCGTGAAGACCACGCACACACAACACTCACACACACACACAGGCAAGCAACACTCAAGTACGTGCTGTTGTTGCTGCTGCTGCTGCTGCTGCTGCTGTGCTTCTTTTTACTGCTTTTGCTTTTGCCTATTTTCGTTGTTTTACCAACAATTCATTCATGCAGTTTACTATACGCCCACATGCACGACCGATGCTGTTATATCAAACGTTTGCTTTCTTTTAATGCGAATACGTTGTTGCACTTTATGTGTGCGCAAAAAACAATGCAAAAGATTATTTGTGTTTTATTTTGAAACGGTTTAGTCGTCGCCGCGTCTTGCTCGCCCGTTCTTCCAATTGGAACTGAGCGCAGCCACTTGGCTGGGAGTGAGCGACGGCGACGGCGCAGTGTTAAATTAGCAGCGAACCGCCAACAGTGTTGACTGCTCAGCTCTTTTCACGCTAAATATTGAGAGTGTCCAGCCGGACAGTTCAGTTAAGCTTATGATTTGTTAAGAAATACGTTCAAATCAATTGACATGGTTAAACATAATATAATAATTTACATATGGCTGCTAAATTAGCAAGAACTTGGATAACTTTAGCTTGATTATTTGCAATGTAGCTTTTTAGCTTGTGAAGAGTGAGCAGCACTGAGAGAGTAACCCAAGTACGAGAGCGTGCAAGTGCACTCTAGGGCTCTCGCAGTCATGTTAATACTTGCTTTTTGGTAATAAAAAAATAAACAAACATTTTAATTTTGGATAAACTGTTAGCATGTAACCTTTAAATGTTAAACAATTTCATTAAACAATAACTGTTGCAAATATAGCCACCTAATTGGTTGCTATCGATAAGCGCAGTGTGGCTATCGTTCGACGCTCGCCACGGTTGTGCAACTGTTGGCTTGACATTGGCCTTGGCTGTTGCCTACTTTTAGGCTGGCCTTGCACATGGCCCAGCCGAAAGCCGTTAAAGGATTGCCTCAAGATTTCGTGCACGAAAAAACCTAATTAGAAATGAAATATTCAAGTACAATAATATTTAAAGAAGTGCTTTTGATGTTGTTTAGGGCCTTTCGCTTGCAGGTTTCATTTAATTAGCTTCATTATGGCTTTACTGGTCTTGCAATTAAATCCATTAAAGCTCATTAAATCCGCTCAACTGTGAATTTCAGATATGAACGGAAAAGTTAATCCCTTTAGCTTTTTAACTGCTTCCAAAGCGAACTTAAGCGAACCCCCCCCCCCCCCCTTATCCAACCTTTCTCCTGCTAGGACTCTGAGAAACACATATTTAAATAAATATTAACAGGCGTTGAATTTAATTACCGAGACAAGAAACGGACGGCACAAGCGGAATCCCCAAAAAGGACATGCCTCGGATTTTGTGCCCTTTTTCCAGATAAATGAATAAACAGTGCGAAGTGAAAATCACAGCAACCAGAAACGAAACAATATCTTCATTGGACGCGCTACTCGATGTCCTTCAGCGAAATTGCTGCAATAAAATTGTAAGCAAAGACACGACAGACACGACAGCTCCGAATGTTTTGTTGATGTCAAGTTTCATTTGTTGCGTCGCGCTGATTACCAAAACCCACCCACAACACCCACGAGCCGAGCGGCAGGACCCGCCAAGCGATAAAGTCAACAGCAACACTTGCCACAGCAGGAGAAGAAGCAGCGGCAGGAGATGGAGAAGCAGCAGGAGTTGATGCTGGGCGCACGGCTCCTGTTTTTTGATGATGATGACAGCGGCAACTTGCAGCGATAATGATGTCTCCCTTCACCTAACCAGCACAGTGGTGCGAATTATCCAAGCAACTGTTTCAAATTCTTTAACTTTGTGAACAAAACAAAACATTATTCCAAAAGCGAACGGATCTTAATGAATAATTATTAGAAATGTTTAAAGAATAATTATAGAAAATATTTCTTTAAATATTTTAAATATTTCTATTAATATTTCTTTGAGCCTAAAGAATGATCATTAGAAATGTATAAGAAATTATAATAAAACTGACCTGAATGAAACAAATAATTTGAATTAGACGAGAATTATAAAACTGAGTCTGAGTAAAGAAATTTCAGAATAGCATTTGGAGTATAATCTAGAATTCAAACATAAAACTGAATATCAGAAGAATTTCAGAGAACAACTTTAAATTACAGCTTTAAAATTAACTTTTAAAATGGTTCTTGAATATCGAGAAATAAAACTGAGAATTATCGCATGCAAGAAAAACTCGAATGAGATATTTAAAAGTACGTACTTACAGTTGTGCTTTAAGGATCCAAAATTAAAATATATAAAGCAAATTTTATAGTAAAATATAAAATGAGATGAAATAAAGAACAGAAAATTATGAATATAATAATTAAGAAGAAATATGAAGTATAATTCAGAAGGTAAAAACTGCATGATAGACTTAAAGACGACAAAAAAAAGTGAAATATAAAAGTGAAAATTATGAAAAACTAAAAAATGACAAAACAGTTCGAATTAAGAATGAAACAAATTTCTTATAGACCTTAACATCACATACTTGTCTACCCTTGTAGAGGGTATTTTAACTGTGTCTTGAAATGTGTAAAGCATGGAAGGAGACATCTCCAACCCTATAAAGTATATTCCATATTCAAGATCAGAATCAACAGCCAAGTTATAATAGAGCCATGTCCGTCTGTCTGTCAATCTGTTTCTATGCGAACTGGCAGGCAGAAAATATGTAGGAGCAGTTCGGATCGAAAAACTATATCATATATCACATAGGAATCAGGTTCTTGTATGGCAAACCTCATCTTATCAACATCGGATCACTATATAATACAGCTGGCATAGGAACGATCACTTGAAAAATAGCTTCTTGTATGGCAAAATATTCTGTTTCCCAAGATAATTTCATCAAACTCATCATTCACGAGCTTCACTATTCCCACATATCTGCCAAATGCGTATTCATTCCTTTCTCTTCCGATATTCCTGGCATTGCTTTTGACCACTGTGCATTGCCGGCGTGCTGTTCATTATGGAGGAAAAAGTGTTGCCGAGTTATAATGAGAGCCAAGCTCGAAAGCAGAAATTTACGAGAAGCGCCACGTTAAGTGAGAGCCAGAGACAGACAGAGGCAGCTGTTCGAGGGGACGGGGGCATATCTGCAGGGTGAATCGGTGAATCGCGGGGAAAATGGACGCGTTGCAACATAGAGAAAAAAAACTTTTCCTATTTAAGCTCAATGACAAACAGCAAAGTTCGCTGAATCGAATTTTCAACTGGCGCAACTCATAAAATATGCACATTTTAATTTTCAGCCAAAGAGTCGCCTTTAAAACGTAGAACTTAAGTAATTGCCCAGCAGCAAGAATAAGAAGAAGAAGAAGAAGAAGAGGATAGCAAAGAGGCGGGTCGGGCAGGGGCGGGGCGGGGCGGGGCGGGGCGGGGCGGGGCGGGGCGGCAACAATACGAAATGAAAAGCCAAGCGCCTGAGACCACAAAAGGCCGCACGAGCTGAAGCTGAATGCAGACAGGATGCAGGCCGCAGGCAGCAGGCAGCAGGACACCGGCTAAGGCATACAGGACGCACCTGGAGGCAAGCCCAGCAACTGTCAACTGATAGTTGATGACAAAGCCGCAGTCACAGATAAAGGAGCCAAGCCAAAGCCCATTCGTTGGCGCCGCCAGCCTAAGCGTTGACATCCCATCAGCACAACTAATCCCAGGCGTTCTCCAAATGATGCGACACATAAGAGCGCAAAATCCTTGACCAGACCAGTTCCCTTTTTTTTATTCTTTCCCCACTCCTCAACACTTCGCCTGCTGATTACTGGACGCTCAGCCGGAGGGGTTGGCAGCAGATTTGATGCTGCTTCGGTTTGCTTAGCCACTGATTGCAGCTACTTCTGCTCCCTATACGGAAGCGAGAGGGTCACAGAGGGAGTGGGAGAGGGAGAGCGAGAAGGGGGGGAGAGGGAGCGAACTACCCTTCTGTTTGTTTTTCTTGCTTCAGGACTTGCGATGTTGGCCTTTGAATGTCTCTTTTTAGAGGGTATTTCAATTCTGTGCACAAATATATTCTTCCTCGGATAGCCTAATGGGACTTGTTAGAAATTCCCTATAGAATAAATATGTAGAATTTATATAATAAGCTAAGCATCGGAATGCTCGTTTATGTATTCAGGTTGTATTCTATAATTTTTAAAAACTTTTTTCGTTTTTACTCTGAGACAACTTTAAGATTATCAAATTTTCTTCACCTACGACAGATCGTCAAATAATATATATAATAACTAGCACGTATTTCCCGGGCAGATTTGTGCTTAATATTTTAGATATACATTTTTTTCGGCAGTTTCTGCCCGTGGAAAATTTAAATTTACTTTCCTAAACTTCAGCTCTATTTGGTAGAATTTTTAGGTTCAACAAGTAAAGAACCAAGAAAGATAAATTATAAGATTATAATAATAAATAGTTAACAATTCGAGGGTATCTTCCAGTCGATATCATTCGCGGCTGCGGACATCTCCCTTGTTTTCTGTTTGAGCTGCGCTCTTGAATTACCGTGCAAACAAACAATTCTCAATTGCTGGTCAAGACTTGTTTATGTGCGTTCAACTCATTTGGAGCCACGCCCATTTAAAAGGGGCTGTTTAGGGCACGTTTGCAGTTGTCACATATTAACTAAGACCGAATTGCGACTTTTTAACTATCGAATATTATATGCCCAAACACGTAATTTGTTGCGCCTAGGCAAGTTACGAGTAATTCCAATTATTGGGCATTACTCATACGCCATGTGTTGCCCCGGCCGTGCATGCACATTAATCGTACTTTGCGTAATTCCCTGTAAATTGGCAATTGCAAATTTAAATGTGCACATTTTGCACGCTGGCAAATAAAATCCCAAATAAAATTGCATTCAATTTGCCGGCCTCTAATTACGCATTGATTTATGGCCGCTCTAAACTTTGGGTACACAAAAAACGATTAATTTTAATTAACTAATTGCAAACCGGAAATTTGCATTATTTTGATTTAAGGGTTGATAAAGAATACCTCGATATATTACAGACTGATTGATTGACTGATTCTGTTTTTACATTATGTTACCTAAGTCGGGATTTTGAGGGAATCGCATCCAAAAATATGGAAAAGCCGCGAAAAACGTTTCTATGAAACTCCCTTGATCGGCCTAAAAAATTCATTTGAGGAGTGAAAATGGGATCAAAGTTTTAGCGGTGTTCACCTTCATATTCATTTCCAGAGATCTTTATGAAAAATCATATGAGACGTGTTTTCTTTGTGGAAATGTTATCAAAAGATTTTCCGATTTGCTTCAAACTTATATACAAA